TTCCAAAGCGCTGGGATTACAAGCGTGAGCCACCGCGCCTAGCCTTAAAGGATGCTTTGAAGACTTTCTCTGAGTTTTTGCAAACACCGTGTATGCAATGTCACTTTTGGATGCCCAGGATTTCAGGGTTAACACCACTGTGAGGCAAGGGCAGGGCCGGGTCCAGGCTCTGGAGTGGTGTGCGGCTCCTCTCCCGGACCTCAGCCTCTTCTCTTCGTCTCTACTTTGGCTCTGCCTTTCACATGCGCTCAGCACTATCAGTCCATTTTTGGACCTGGGTGGGGCATGCCCTATAAATAAACACTAAACCAGGCATCCTTGCCACAGTGCATACTTCTGACAGATGCCATCAGCCTCCACCCACGCCTCAGACAGATGCCTGCCTTGCTGCCATCCCTCCTGCCCTGGAGAGACCTACTGGCTACTAAGGACTGGGGTGTCTCCCCAGGCCTCCTGGTTCTCCCAGCTCTGGAACAGCACCTAGGACCCGAAACTGTCATGTGTGGGGACACTGAGTGGGTGCCAGGCACTCTCCCAGGCACTTCAGATGGCCCCTCACTGACTGTTCTCCAACCTCTGAGGCAGGGACTTACTACCCTACTTTGCAGATGGGTAAACTGAGGTTCTGGGTGGTTAAGTGACTTGCTGGAGTAAATGGGGAAGAGGAGATTGGAGCCCCAGCATTCTGACTTCCACACTGCCCCAGTAACACTGTGCCAGACCAGCTTCTCCATGGGACGGGCCTTCGGGATCTGGAGACAGCTCCCTGTTCGCCGTAGCCTTCACTAGAAGGACTGCAGGGCAGGACTCGCATCATGGCCATCCTGGGTGGCTGCGGCGCACAGACAAGCCCTGCTCAGGCCTGCCTTCCGCTCCCCCCAGGCAGCCCCTGACTGACAATAGGCAGTGCCACAGTGCAGCCTCTGGCAGCGACTTTTAATCGTATTTTTGAGACAGAGTCTCACTCTGTTGCCCAGGCTGGAGTGCCGTGGTGTGATGTCAGCTCACTGCACCCTCTCCATTTTGGGTTCAAGCAATTCTTGTGCCTCAGCCTCCGGAGTAGCTGGCAATACAAGTGCCCGCCACCACATCCAGCTAATTATTGTATTTTAAGTAGAGATGGGGTTCCGTCATGTTGGCCAGGCTGGTCTCGAACTCCTGATCTCAACTGATCTGCCTGCCTCACCCTTCCAAAGTGCAGGGATGACAGGCGTGAGCCACCATGCCCAGCCAGCTTTTTATCTTGTTGTAAAAACCACACACGTAATTCATACATTCATATATGGCACCATTTCGAACACCATGTCCTGTTCTTAACGCAATGCTTCTGAATCTTTCAATGAATCAAGAGGGTGGCTCAGCACTCAGCAGGCGTCACAGAGGCCGTGCGCTTTGTTTACGACTCCTTTTCCCCAAGAGCTAAGGCTGAACAAATAAATAGCAACGACAGCAGCAAAAAACAAAACAACAAAAATCAAAGCATAGTCGATGAGCCCAAACCATTCCCGCAGGTGCAGACGGTGGATAAACAGATGGTAGCACGTTTGGAAGGAAATGACCGCTGGTCAGAAGTTCGGGGTGCGCGCTTTTCCCTGCACCCTTGCTGAAGATTGCCGACCTGCCCCCCGGTTATTTAGCAAATGTGTGCATACTACGCGGGCTTGTCCCTTAGTGTCCAGACCAGAATACAAGCTAAGTGAAGGTAATCGTCGCTCCCCAAGTCCAAGCAGCCGGAAAGGCGGTGGCTGCCGGAGCGGAAGGCCCAGGAGCTAAGGGAGCGGTGGTGTCTCCCTCCAGGCCGGCGAGGCCCGCTCTTCCCAGCCTGTCTCTACCTGGGACGGCTCCGGAGACAGGCCAGGAGTCCTCGACCGACAAACTCAGAGCCACAGGGAGAGCTGTCCCTCGGGAAACCGTGGAAACCGCTTCGTAACCAACTCCACGGGTCACGGCCCCTGCCCTGATCCGTCTCCCTGTCCAGGGGAGGGCTGTGGCTCCTCCGCCGTGCGCGGTCCGGGCAGCCGACGCCCCGGGACTGGCACAGCCTTGCAGGTCGGAGGGAGCGCGCGGGCGCGGAGGAGCTCGCTGGCGATTTCCAAATGCACCCGCACCCCGCACCCCCGCCTCTTCCTGGGGTCGCCCTCCCACGGCCTTCCGAACTTGGGGCGGAGAGGGGGCACAGGAAGAGGCCCTCCTGGAATCCCTGCGGGGCTGCTTTTGGCGCCAAAGTCGGCCTGCGCTGCGGGCAGGACCCGCGTCTCCTCGCGGACTCCACTCTGGACGCTCCAGCCCCTCGCGCCAAGTCCCAGGGACCGATCCAGCTCCGAGGGAGCCCCTGTGTCGCCACGTCCCAGCTCGTCCCCTATCGCCCTCTCCTCCCCTCCCAGCTTCGGAACCGCGAGCCCAGGCACCTGCCGAGCGCCCAGGCACCTGCTGCCCGCGGATCCGAACGGCGCTCCGACCCGGGGCCGCCTACCTGCAGCCGTCGCAGCCCGGGGCGTCGGCGTCCGTCCCCGCCGGCCTGGCGCAGGCTCCGGCTTCGCTGCGTCCCTTTTGCGGGCGTGCGGGCCTCCGGGCCGGTGCGCGGGAGGGAAGGCAGGGCGGGCGGCCCGGCCAGGAGGCGGGTTATATGGGCGCAGGGAGGGGAGGCGCCACGGGGAGGAGGCGGCCGCGGGCGTTAGCGCCTTTGCAGCCCGGTGCGCGGGAAGGCAGCGCGGGCCACCGAGCCGCGGCGGGAGGAGGGCAGGGCCGGGGCCAAGGCCTCCTCCCGGCGCTCCGCCTCCCCAGCTGGCCGCGTCGGAGTCGGGGTCCCTGGCGCGCTCCGCCCCGCCTCCTTCCCGCCGCCATTCGGCGCGCGTAGCCCCAGCCGAGCCCGGAGAGGTCGCCCACGCGGGGCCGGAGCAGGCTGGACGCCAGGGCCCTCCAGCGGGCCAGACCTGATCGCGACCTTCTGCAGGTCTGGGGTCGCCGGTGCCGACGCGCCGGGCACAGGTGCGGACTCTGAGCCCTGACTCTGGTGTCCCCCAGACGGCTCATCTTCCCAGACACCCGGGTCTCCTGGCCGCCGCCACTGCGCTGGGACCCTCGGCACGTGGGGCGCTTGGAAGCCAAGGGGCTGGGGATGTGGCCGGCAGGGAACTGGGGTGAGGGGCGCAGCCCCGGGGCACGGAGGAGGGGAACGGTGCAGTCCGCCCGTCCGGCAGGGCCCGCCACCCACTCCGCTAGCTGAGCCATGGCCCCGCCCGGCAGAGGATCCCGCGGAGACCCTCCGGGTGCTGCTCTCCCAACCCCAGCTGTAGTCTGGGCCCCACGGCCTTCCAGGGGCACCTCAGGACGCAAACACACCCGGGCGACGCCCAGCACCCTGCTCCCTCCTGCGGCCGCCGCCTCTGGCCTCGGGCTCTGGATCCCGTTCGGTGTTTGGTAGGAGCCGGGGGGGGGGGGCGTCAGTGCGCTTGGAATTGCTCTCTGCGCGCACAGACCCGCGCCAGGTCAGGCCAAGCCTCCCCACCCGCCGGCGACACCCGCCGCGCGTTCGCCTGCTCTTCCTAGGCCAGCGGGGTTTCCAGGGCCCTCCACCGGGTACAGCGGGCCCTGGCTGGGGGATCCGAAAGGCAGGGCGAGTTCTGAGCGGCTCTAAATGGCAGCACTGCTTATGGTCTGATGCTTATGGGACCCATGATCTGGCTCCGAACCTGTGCCCTCTGCCCATAGTGGCCCCCACGTCTTGGAAGGTCGCGTCGGTGAATCCCGCGGCCTCGCGAGCGAGCCCGGCTAGTGCAGACTGGGTTCTCCGCGCCTGAGCAGGAGGGTCTGGCTGACTTCCACACGGCCTTACTGCTCACGCACGGGGCGTGGGCGCCCAGGGACCGGACACAGAGGCGAATCTCATGCAGGGGTCTGGGTCTAGCTGGGAGCAGAAAAGGCCGGCACCGTCAGGGTAGGACGCGCGCGCACCACCATCCTTTCGGCCGGGGAGGTTGGGGCGTTCGCGGGGAGCAGGCCAGAGGCTGGGCGCCCGGAGGTGCGAGTAGGACCCTGGCCGGCTCTCAGCTCCCAGAACGCAGGGTCCGGCGGGGGTGTCAGAGTCTGCGCCGTCTGGAGGGCCCTAGAGGCGCCGGCGGGACCTGGAGCGGACTACTAGCGGCCCGCGTGAGCCAGGGGAGGAGGAGGCCGCTGTCTAGGGAAGAGGACCAGGGTCCGGAGTGGGCGAGAGGACGAGGCCCAGCCCTGGAAGCCTGCAGGGACTCGCTCCCTCCAGTGCCTGGGGCGGCTGCGGCTGGGACCCCGGGTCCCGGCCTCCGTGCGATTCTTCGCAGGGTGACTGCCCAGATGCGCGCGAGTGATGCACGGGGCGGTGCCCGCGATCCACGCGCTCGCTCTGCCCAGTCAGCGGCAAATTCGTTCTCTCCTGGATCTCAGTGGCCCTGGAGCATGCGGCAAGGGCCAGGCGGCAGGTAGGGGTGCCGGACTCAGCAAAAGCAAACAAAACCCCAAGTAAACGAAATAAATACTTATGCATTACATATATGATATAATATGTACGACGGACATCGTATTACATACTAAAGATCTATTTATATGCAAATGTATATTTATATGTAAACAAACCTTTACATGTAAATATAAAAATATATGTATGTGTATACACACGCAGACACACAGTTTGCCCAATTAAATTTGAATTTCCGTTTACCGAGTAATTTTTCCATATTAGCATGACCCGTGCAATGTTTGGGAGCATACTTATACTAGAAAACGATTTGTTGTTAATCTGAAATTCAAATTTTACTGTGCTTCCTATATTTTATCCACAGTCCTAGCTGGAGGGGACCTCAAGGTCTCCGGGCCTTTGAGGTAGGGCTATTGGATAGGAAATCCCGGGTCCGAAGAAACGTGGGCGTCTCCTTTAAAGTCCTGCGGTACAAGGAGAACTACAAGCCCCACAATGCCGCGCGGCCTCCCGCGGCGCTGATAGGCTGCGGTTCACTTCCGCCTTCTGACTTCCGGCCTCGGAGGCCAGCGGCGGCGACAGTTGTGAACTGCTGCGCGCCAGGGTCCCGCGGGTTTTCGGGCGCAGGCTGGCACCTGCGGCTGACGGCGGCCATGAACTTCTCCGAGGTGTTCAAGCTCTCTGGCTTGCTCTGCAAATTCTCCCCGGACGGCAAGTACCTGGTGAGCAGCGGCTGCGGGGGCCGCGGGCACAACATCCTCTGTGCCGGCGTTCCCGGCGGGCAGAGCCACGGGGCTGCCGCGTGGCCCAGGGGTGGAGGCAGCTTGGAGGTCCTGCGGGTGCGGGGCCCGGGCAGGTGCAGGGCCTGAGTAACTGCCCCAGACAGGTGCGGGACCCGGGAGGATACCCTAGACAGGTAGAGGGCCTGGGGAGGTGCCCCAAGCAGGTGTGGGGCCCGGGCAGGTACCCTAAGCAGGTACGTGGGCCGGACAGGTGCAGGGCCCCGGCAGATGCCC